TAAGCGTTCCTGACACTTTCGGATCAGACATCCGTATCGTCCCATTATTGTCCTTGGGCGATGCTTGTCTGTTTTTCGCATCAAAGAAACTTGCTAGTCATCTGAAGGCCGTTACACGAGAAAAAAGGGTAAGTAAAGGACGACAATTTTTCATTTCCACTGATCCTCCCCGTTTCCTGTCCTCCTACTTCCGGAACCATCTGCCCCGATAACAACCAATGAACATCAATAGAAAACTCCTGTGTTTTATCCAGTAATACAAAAACGCTCATTTCTCAATTCAACAAAAAACAACTAGCTGTTCAAAACTCAGTTTGCCGGAAGTAGGATTTAAAAGATTTGAATTATTCACTGATATTCTTTCCACCTTATTCCCGATCTTTTTCAGCTCTACTTTCAGTTCTGTTTTTACTATAAACAATTCAACTAAAATTCTAACGGCTTGTGCTAAATCTATGAATAATTCACGAATTCAAGGCATGCGCTTGCTAACTACATTAATTTCTTTCGTAATGAGTATATTTCTTGCAAAATATAAGAAAACGAAGGCTGCTTCGATAATCAGTGTACTGTCAATGGTATCAAGATGCAGCAACATGGCCGAACCCGGTCTTCCCGTGCGCCTCTTTACCTGTAGAATTGCTGAACTGCCAAATTTCCCGAACGAGAAAAACAAAAATTAGTCCCTTCTGGTATTATATGCGAGAGATGTTCTGAACAAAAATGTGCCCAACGACCTGTCGTAAATGCATGGGGATTTATCTGCCTTCTCGATCCAGAAAAAGATGTGTGACTGAATGGCCGCATTCCCGAGATCAGTCCACCTGCCCCTGTTTTGCGCCCACCTGATCACATGCCACTTTTTACGATGGCAATGCACGTGGCGTGCATATGAACATGAGCACGACACGAGGACAGCGGAGGGCATCCGTGCAATGCAAGCGCAACTCGTTTTGCAAACTTGCTGTTGCTGCTGCTGCGTCGAATCACAAACCATTGCTCACCACCGATTCACTTCGCCACCCGTCCCGCAAACACTTCCCGAAACCCCAGCACATACCGTAAATCAAATTACTTTCAACTGGAGAAGTAACAAAAGTTGTTTGAGAGAATGGCACTACCCTAAAACCCATCAAAATAAACTGGCATGTGAAGAATATTAATAAGAAATCGTTCTACTCGAAGCAACCAAATCTGCCGTCCAGGAGTCACGATTTTCGAGAAATCTGCATATAGTCCTATTTTGCCCTGTGTTCCTCATGTTGATTCTCACTTAGCCAATCCTGCTTATTATCGCTCATGGTAATTCAGACCCCTTTGCTGGATTCGACATTTTTCAACAAAATTTGACCTCCTCCAGTTTCCCTAGGCATTATTGGATAAATAAGCTCAAAGAATACAAAACTGTTTTGGCTCTTGTTATTCTACTGCGACGGCTCCGGCGGCCCTTATTTGAGAAAAAAGAAGCAAAAACCACCCTTGCACTTAATAACGTACTTCAAAAAGGAATGTATAAAAAGCAAAAATAAACTGTTACACATCTACCAAAAACTGTCATTGAAAAGTTGCCAAGTTCTACGAGGTAAAAACTCATTAACGGCTATCACATCAAGTAACATCACGGAAAGTCACTGAGTAATTTTTTTTTTATTCCTCCCTAACAAAACAACAGTTTCCTCGAAATGTTTCCAAAACATGTAATCGGCATTACACGACGGTCAGTTCAGTGTTTAAGTGAGGAATGTTTAAGTGCTTGTGTAAGAAGCTGTTGTATTCTCACGGCACAATGAATGCAATAAAACATACAACAAATCGGCTGCACCTGGCCATCTCTTACTCAGCCACTGGGTGAAAGCACCAAAATTTCCAAATCACATGGCATGTTTCATTTTGGAATTATAATCCCACAATTGTAAGAGCTTGAAGGTATATATTTGAAAGTTTGAAGGTGTGGCAGCAAAATTTTAAGAAGTAACATTAAATTGTAATTAATCAGCTGAAAAGGAATGTTCCGGTCTCTGATGTCGTATACATTTCTGGACTGTGTCAGTACAAAACTGGACTGTGTCAGTACGACAGTTGTGGTGTCAAACTAATTTCAGTAAGGTTCTAAGGCAGGGATCATCTCACTGGACAAGGCGAGTCACTACTCCAAATCCCGCATTTGCAAGCTTCTAGTTCAAGAACTCTGAGTTGTTTCCTAGTTACGCAGTTTAGGTCACATAAAATCTATTCCGTTTTTATCATGACATTTTTTAGAGTCAAGCCATTTTAATCAGCTTCCCTGAGGAATTTTGAAAAAAAGTCATTGGTAGCCTCGAAGCTGCTAAACTGTTTAACATCCTGTTGGAAGTCCACATCCATCTTCATTTTATAGATCAAATTTAAGAGTAACTAGTTTTCGAAAATTTGTCGTGGCGCGCTTTTTTCGAAAAAATAACATATCTTATTAAGAAACTGTATTTTTTTGCAATTTAGTTATTTTATTTATTTTGTGCAGGCGTGCAGCACGGATCAGTGGAATCAAAGAAAATGGCGTGAATTTTCGAAGAAATATGCGTGGGAAGCGTAGCGATGCAAAATTCAGGGCAATGATAATGAAGCGGAAGGGATTTGATTTCTAAAAATTTAAAACAGTATATAGCGTAGGTGGTCCACAGTAACGCTGAAAGCTAAGTCCTCAGATAGAATAGAGCGGATTAAACAGTGGAATGACAAAAATCGAGGACTCATAACGACTATGTGCATACTGTGATTAAAAAAAAGTATTCTGCGAAACGGAAGAAAAGACAGCAACGACTTACCGAAGAGTTAGCCCAGTGCAAGTGAAGCTGAAAACGAAAAAACAAGAAAATATCCAAACTCAGGATACGAAAAAAAAGCGCACTGAAATTAGCCTATATTGGAACGGACAGATTGCCTTCTGTGTCATGTTCACCAGGTATCAAGTCGTCTAGAAAGGAAGAAAGACCAGAAGAAACTGGATCAACTGGATGATTAAATAGGGAACAACGGCCGAATTTTAGTCAACCGAAATCATCTAATATTTACACTGTAGAGGTAGCAAAACACTAACTGGAAAAAATTTTCAGAAAAATAAGGAAAGCGGAGATGTGCCTTCTTCTGCCGAGACCTAAGCAGGGTTGAGACTATTAATGCTAGAGACTTAAAAAACATGAAAATTACTCAAAAAAAATAAAAGTACAACCAGTGCCCACACACACAGTATACTGTTTAAAGATATACAAAAAAGCCGGAAAGAAAAGGCTTTCGAAACAAAACTACTTTTCTGACCAAATTGTTCTGCAAGAGCAGTTGAGTATGAGGAAACGGAAGGTCGCGAAAAACACGAGGAAAACGAAGGTCATGAAGTGCGCTACGATCAGAAGGGAGCAAGAGAGAGAGGAAAGATAGAACTGGAATGCAAACAACGTATTACCGAGCCATTCCGGAGCACTTCCTTGACAAGCACTTGTACAGCGACGATGCGGGAATCCGACTGCAGCACGGATGGCTTACGCAAGAAAACATTGAGTACCGCAGAATGAAGCAGTTTTGACATCAGCTCGCCGGAAAATTTGAAGTAGCCAACAACAGTATCCAAGTTGTAGCGCGGTGGTACCCGCTCAGCCAGTACAATCGTTCGTTCGGTCTTGCGCTCCAGCGTTAGCTCATCAGCCAGGAATGAGCTTTGCATGTGTGCTGCTGCTGCTGAATCGTACCGCAGATGGTACTTCAGATATTTAGCAACTTGTGGGATTGTCGGGAAGCCGTCCTGCGGCCGGACCTGCGGCGGGCCATCCAGACCGAGCTTTTCAAGGATCTCTCGCTTGATTTGCTCCAGCCGGATTTTGGCTAATTCATCACGAGCTTCTGCACACCCATGACAACTGTGATTGTTGTGGTGACGCCAGGCAGCCGTGCCGCTGACTGAGCAGCAACAGAATAGACCCAGCGTGAGCAACATCCGGTGAGCAGCTGTAATAAGCATCGCTGTCGCAGCCAGAGCCAGTAATGAAGCTACGGAAGAGTTCTTGCTCCAGAACAGAACAAAGGGGAGGATCCGCAAAGGGACCGAGCTAGGCCGAACCACCAGCACCGAAACCACTACCAACAGGCTGCGTACTACGTGCAATGATTTGCTGCTCCTCCTACTCCTGCCGCTGATAATAACGATGACGAAGGCGATGCTGTAGCTGCTGATAATAATGACGATGCAGCTGCTGACGATAACGATGATAACGTTGATAATGGTGATGATGCTGCTGCTGATAGTAGTGCTGTCCTGTCGCACGACGCTCTTGTATTCGCCCTTTTGCTGCTACTGCTACTGCTACTTCCCCGATCGGAGTTGGGCGGTCAATTCCACAAGTGCCCTCCCTCCGCCTTCGTGCTACACGTTCGGCTCGGCTCGGTTCGTTTCGGTTCGGTTCACTCCTGACGGTGATCATTCATCAAACGAACAATGATCGTTTATCACAGCAACAATAGCTCGCAAATTATCCACCAAATTGATGAGCTGCACATACAATTCACACCTAAAAAGCCATTTTTTAAGATGTTTTGACAACCGCTTACACGGCGGCCAGGGATCAGTGGGTACCGCTGCTACGGCCTTGGGCTCACTTGCCTAAAACCCGCAACCACAATCGGCTCAATCATCACTTTCACATCAGATTTACCAGGAATCCGAATGGCAAGAAATCGCAGTCTTCGTAGTTTCAACCAGGAATTGAAGTAAGACAGGCGAACATTCTGAAGAATGCGGAGGAAGATGAAATTGCTGAAAAAGGTCATCAAATGCGTCTGACGGGAGAAGAAAGGTTGTACGACCTTTCGGCTTGCCAGAAGCAGCAGCAGCAGCTATGCGAAGAATCCTGACCACGAAAAGCAGTGGCGTGCTTCAATGAATGGCCTTTCGTGCTTCAGTCCTCATCCTCACACTCACTCTCAGAAATGCAACCAGCCACTTGCCATACAGCAAACTGTTTATGATTCAAAAAGAAAAAATCAACAACAACCATCAATAACAGCTGTACTGAAGCAACGTCAGAAGCAGCATTCTTAGCTTCTTCTCATTAGGCACCCCAAGCTTTCTTGCATTTCGAGGGAAATGTGATTCTGTGTCAAATAACGCTGATAAAGGACGCCCTTCCCCTCTTCTCTTTTTAAAAACCTTACTTCTGCAACTCTACTTTTTCAGGCTTACCGTAGCATGTTGCTTTATTCGCCGTAAAAGCTTGCGAACTACTACATCCCCGTCATGTTGTGCAAACAAAGCAAAATCGCCCCTAAACAATATCCCTTCCTGTCTCTGATGAACTGCCCAAGATCAAATCCACAACAACGACAATCATCACAAATTCAACGGCAACGAATTCACTGACGAAACGAGGAATACCGAAGAAGCGACCACAGGTGCGTCACCATCGAAATAAACTGCGTCATCACCTCACGTCATACCACAGCACCATCAGCCAAGCAAGAGAAACTGCTGTCAGTGTTTTACACCTTTGCAAGCGGCTGAAAAGAAAGAGACCAAAAAGCTGTCCTTTTGGTTCTGTTATTAGAAATTCGAAGCACGAAAAACATACCAAAATGAATATTGTATCTGGAATTGAAAGCCAGGCGATTTCATCCAACACTGCTGCATCAAACGCCGAACTACGGATCAGCAGTTTTGGGAATGGTAAACGGCCAGCACAGAGAGCCATCACTGATACCTTATATACATAAATTTCTGACGGCAGTAAATGAATGTCAACCTGAAATCGAAATGGGGCTATATGGTTCTGGAGCTCTCTGAATGCTCATATGCCAGTTGCTGCTTCTTGTGCGGAACAGCTGTTATAATCACAGTGTCACTGTTGTAAAACCAACTAGCAATTTGGTTAATCCGCAAAGATCGTTAAAAGAAGAGATCGTCGAGTTGTAAAATTCAAACATCAAGCGCCCTAACAACTACAGCGCCTTTTACTGAAATTAGCCATTCCTCATTCCAACGATTAGCTGATGACGACACTTCAGTCGAACAGCCCGTTTAGTTGTACCGATAAAATGAACTAAAAATAGGATTAACTTTCAGATTCATGCTAATCGCTGCCGAGCGAGTGCGTTACTAGTCCACGAAATGCAGAGCTCAGAAACGCGCTTTTTTTCATTTAGTTTCAAGGCATCGGGCATTTCCATGAATCGGATTGTGCATTGCTTTTATTGTCATGCTTCTTTTTCTTTGTAATTGTCGTTTATGCCCATCAGTACTGTAATGTGGTCAATCTTTTTCACCCATATAAATAAACTGACTCATAAAGATTTACAAGGATAAATGATATTACACGCTCAAGAGATGCGATTCCTTTCGGTTTACAGAGTAATAACTCTGCAAAATGTGTGGCGGAGCCAGCATCCAATAACTTAAAATAGAAACAAAAAACGGTCGGCCGACGGACGGATGTGCTGATAAGATGCTTGCTCATGGCACAAAAAAAAAGAAGCTGTTTCCTTCATCTTTCTGCTACACCTGGGTAGGTATAATAAAAAATTATGATTCGACCGTAAAGCTGTGGTATCTGAACAGATGTCATTTTTTTGGTGCGTTCGAAGGGAAGGGAAGGGAGGACGAGCAGGAGACCAGCTGGGCCCACTTCAGACATCAATCACGATTAATACAGTCTCCCGGGAGGTGCTGTAACAATTGTGTTACATACTTGTGGTAAAAAATTGATTTTTGAACACAAACTGCCAATGGAACAAGAAAACATATGCATGTTGAGCGAAGATAATTTTATGCTTGTTTACTGAGAAACAGGTGACTGCTCCTGGCAGTACCTGAAATACTGCCAAGTTTCATCGAAATGTTCTTTCACCCGTTTGATTGACGGAAAAAGTATGGAATTTTGAAGGAAATTGATTAAACTATTTAACACTGCTCTTCCTTTTTCACAATTCCCTTACCGGCTATCAGGCACATGAATCACTGAATGCCATCGGATTATTTTTACATGATGCCGTTATTTTGGAGAAATTCCCCAGTGATTAATCAGAGGAAAACTTCTATCGGAAGAAATACTTCTCAGGAAAAAAACAGCTACTGAAAAAGCCACAAAAAGCTGGAAGTCCCTAGCCACAAGGGGCACTGTCGAAGGTGTTTCAACCAACACTGCTTAAACAGCGGTTGTGGCTACTCTGTCCACAGAATCATGCAATGCAAACTGAACAAGCTGCTCTTGGGCCAAGCATGCTCAGAGCGCCACTACGTGGGTATCGGTAAAACGAACCAATGAACTGTGAAAATCCTGTAATTTTTAGCTAAGTCTTCGAAGCACGAGCGTCTTGGTCAACGTAGCCAGCCTTATAGACTAGCACCAACAAGCCTTTATGCCGTGTCGGCTGCAAAATGCAATATTGAAACAAAAGTAGCAACGCGCACTAAAACTTCCGATTCAATTATGCATTTTCTCCGATTTTTCGTTAACAGTATGAATGGTTGTTGCCCTACCGTTTAACATGTGCACTCATACTGGCAATGTTACTGGTCCTTTCTGCCTGCGGCGGAAGAAAGGTGTCGATTAACCGATGGAATGCAGCGCTGCATCGTGAGACGTACTAAATCCTTTCCTCCAGTATGTATGATTACCATGAATTTTAGACAACTAATTTTAGACAACTCGGCCGAATCAGCTTGTAAAACTTCAGTTTTCTAGCTTATCGAGTTCGCTAAATTGTCACTTCGCTAAAAATATTTTAGACA